CATGCCTTGTATCGCATACCTGGGATATACCCAGCAGTATCCGTACCAGTACGCGTGCGAAAATCGGTGTGGCGAAGCTTCCCAGCCATCTCTAGATGCCGAGCAGTGCGTGCTTTGGCACTGTTTCGTCCCAACGAGGATGATACATTGATGTTCATACAGCACGCATCCATACATGTCACTGTCTCAGTTGCACGACCGCGAAAAAGTCAAGCAAGGCCAGCAAAAAAAAGAAGCGTAACGCGATAAACAAATCGTCCCAGAGTGACAGTTCATGTCGCACAAGTCAACCAAACCCCCAGTAATGTTTCTGCTAAAACACCAGCTATCGCGCTTGGGCACTCGAGGTCTCTGCCAATATTGAGTTTATTTCTCTCTTTTTTTTTCTTTTTGGTGTAAAACAACCGGCCGTTAATGTGGTTTTAGGTTTCACGAAGAAAAACGAAGAGTACGGCCATGAGCGCGCGGTAAGAGTTCCATTGGTGGCTGTGATCAGGACTGCTTCCCAACCCCCCTGATTCGGATGCTCCGCGGTAACTTTTTCTTTTTCTTTTTTTGGGTGTCGTTGGATTCTCCCTTTGCTTTCTGAGGTTTCTAGTCAGCTAGCTCTTTAGTAAAGCCTGATCTGGCAGTGACGTGTGGCCATTTTCGGCAGCTGCGCGCGAAGCGACTTCTTTGAAGTGGTGAGGGGTCGAGCCGAGTACCGGGAACCAAGACAGGTCCACGAGCAGTGTACATACGAATATCGTCAGGATACACTGGGCTATTGCTTCGGAATATGATCACGCCATGTTGTCAGGGGTAGCAGTTGAGAGGCCTGATGCCTACGCAAGTCTGTTCTAGTTACCGTCTCACCTGCGTCACCGACTTTTGAAGAAACCCCATCTCTGGTTGCTTCGACCATTTGCCGCTTCGGGCATCGGATACGCAGTTCACTCGTTCTGGCATCAGTTGAAGATGCTGTCGCCTCTCGGGTCCTCTCTCAAATGATCAACAATCACGCCTACCGTCGTGGTTCAGCCACCCATGTAAGTCAGTCACAGACATCCGGCATCACGCAGCGATGACGCGCTACATGCATTTTGTCAGAACATTAGACTCATGAAGAGCTTAGAGAACATTTGCGTGTGCCAAGAAAGGCACAATTCCGCCTTTCCAGGCTGCTGCTGCTGCTGCTGCTCCTGAGTGATGAGTTGCACATGGTGATTCGCCCAGACCCGTGAAACACGGCATCATGGCGCGGAGCCCATTCCGGTGCGCGGAGAACCTTCCACTCTGCACAGGCCTGGTTCCGGAGGCCGAAGGGCGTACTCGCTACGTCCTGTCGTCAACGCCAAGAATAAGACTGATAGTCGACGATCGAAGGCCGTTTCTATGAGCCGCTCAATGACCTGCTGAATGGTGGTCCGCGTCGGGGGCATGACAAACTTTGGCCTCGGTCGGTTTCAGGCCAAGCGGGTGTGGGCATCATCCCCCATCGATATCTTTCTTGCCACTCTACCAGCTGGTAGGAACACACCTCCTCCGACTACCTTCCTCAACCGCGCGCGCGGTGCAGCGCCGGCCAAGGTCCCGCGGAGCCTGACTGGGCAGACGCGCTCGTCTGCAGCGAGGGACCTGCGTGCCAGCGATGACGGGGTCAAGCGGGACGGGTGTTGTTGACCTGGCGGTAAACGTCATTTTTGAGGGCTCAGGTGTTCCGGCTCTCGGGGAGGGGATTTGTGTGGTTCGTGATCCCGAGTGTGACATGAAAAACAAGTGAAATTGTTCATCACCACAGTTTTGTTTTTGTTTTTCGTTTAGGCGCGGCGGCGCATCTGATACAAACATGCGGGCACCCGACACGAAACATGTTCATTGGGCTTGTCTCGGCGTTCTCGTGGCTCTTTTTTTATCGGCGGCGTGTTGGTTCATGCGCCCGTCCGTAGTAACCGCAAACCAACCAAAAGGCTGGCAAATTTGACCGAGTCTTCAAGTCGCCCTGTATAGATTGCCCAATCAAAGAATGCAGGGCTCCGGTGCGCGCTTGTGTGTGCCTACGTGTCTCATCCTAATGTTCATGTCTTGACCTTTTTGACCGCAACTGCTGTAGATGTTTGTTTCCGCGCCCTTTCTTCAACCATGGCATTTTTCCGCCCTTCTCCTTGTTTGCCGGCTCGACCTCTCTTAGCTGTCTCACCTCTCAGCGGAAATTGGGGACAAAGGAACAAAGGACGCCGGCCGGCAAAGTCGTGGACAGATCAACCGGCCCCGTAACGACGGATCTTGCCATCGATTGAGTTGCGGGTAGAAACAAAAAGTGTAAAACCGCACAGACTTGGCGAAGACCCCTAATAACATCGGAAAAGCTTTGCGTCTCGTTTCTTTTGCTAGCTTCTTAGAGGTCATTATGCGATCCGGTTTTCATCGAATAGGAATTCGGCATTCGGATCCCGTGGTCTAGTTGGTTATGGCATCTCGTTAACACCGAGAATCCCCGGTTCGAGCCCGGGCGGGATCACCACTTTTTTGCTTCTGGGCTGTATTTTTGTGAGTCCTTTTTGGAGTGAATACTTTTTAAATTGCTTTCTAGTTTCTATCGTCTTGTGATCTTGTTGATAATTGTATTGCTTGACCGTGTTCTCGATGCGGGCCTGGTGTTTCCCAGGCTGTCCAGAGAGAGTTGTTCAGGTGGTTCTCAAGTCCGTATTGATGACCAGGTCATCCCGCCCTCTCAAGTGAATTACTACTGTCAATCCATCTATCCCGGCGTCATCGCACTCATGCTCCCGATCTGTCTGCTGAGAGTTGGACTCTCCCGGGTCGCAGCTGTCCAGCTCAGAGCGCAGTTGGTCAACTTCAGCACTCAAGTCCATAAATCTGTCTCTCCAATGGCAGGAGTGCTGATCACGCGGCCGTGCTCTGCTTGGCGCTTTCATTATGCTCGGAAGTCTTCCGTCTTTGGCGGAGGGTAGCGTCGTGGCTCTTGACCTGTTCGAAGGTGCTACCTCTGGTTGTCGGCGTTGCTCCGGCCCGTCTGGACTATTGGTCTCGAAAACGAGATTGTTTCTGGGCAAGGTGCCGTCGGTCTGCTTCAAGCTACCCCGGGACGTCCGCGAGGCAAGGCTGGGACTTTTTGTCAAAAGCCGGCTGTGCTCACATTGTGGAATTCGCTCGTCATAATTAGACGACGCCGGTCTCTCGCTCGGTCTCACGGATACGGATCTGTTCCCATCACAATAAACACGGTCCTGCTTTGATCTGACCAGAGGCGACTTCGGTGTTGATGGCTGCAATCGCTCTTCATTGGGAGAAATTAACTTGGTGCTCTGTCTCCTTACTTTCTTTAGATTTGCAATCCATTCTGGCTTCGTTGTGGGCTTCTGATAGACCGATGGTTCCCCTGTAGCCGGTTTCGACACCTTCCTCAGCGCGTTTCTCCCCCAAGGTGTCTCTTCACCTGCAACATCTGGCCTTGGACTCGAAGGTTCTGGAACTTGACGAAGCTTTGGCCAGTTTTCGACTTCTGGTGATGGCTCATGGGGATGAGGTCGCATGACACGATGTCCCGCATACGGATCGGAAGACCTCGACTTAACCGACATGGCCTTTTGTGCTTCCGTGCTCCGGCGTGGCTGAAGAGCTGCGGGCCGCAAGCCTTCAGCAATAATGTTTTCTGGGGTTCTCAGGTTTGACATGGTGGTAGTCTGCGTCGCTGTTGAGCTTCCGCTGTATGATGACGAATTTGGAGTGGGAGCGCCGGGCAGTGCCGCTACGGTTTGCCGTCTTGTAGCAGGCTGCCGCGCAATACAGCAAATGCAGTGGCGTGCGGGTCGGGTTAGAAAGAGGCTCGATTTCGCCCGGGGAGCAGATCGGGAGCTCGAAGACATTGACGTCGTTGGGTTCTGGCTTGCGTTGCTCCATGGGTAATTTTCGGCATCATCGTTGTTTTGCCGGTCATTAACTTGATGTCTGGGTTGCTGCACAGCACTTGAAGAGCTGGGCGTTTCAGAAGTTCCTGTCGGTACTTCTGACGTGTTTGAGTCCTCTTCTTCAACATCAGCGGTACATCTAGAGCAGAATGCATGCCCACAGGAGGCGCAAGGTTCGTCGAACGAGATCCATTCACCACAGGAATGGCATAGATGTGTTCCCGAGGTCTCGTCAAGTACCCCATCGCCGTTGGCCCAGCAGCTAACACATTCAGCTATTGTTGGCTGCGCAGTATCTTCGCCGTGCATCATCGGCTGAGCTGCCTCGTAGAAGAGTTGGTCTGGCATTTCCGCTGCGGCTGCTGGCTGGTGACTGCTCAACCCATCATAGCTCTTGCACGCCCTAGGGACAAGCACGGCTTCCAACTTGTTCGTCTGGCCCCTCGTCAACAAGCGATCAACACCGGATGAGTTGTCCCTCTGCTCTTGAGATCGAGGAGGGGTCGCGTGCAGAAAAACCGAGCTGCGCGATGCAGGGATTACAAAGCCGCCCTTGGCTCTACTGCTCGAGCCTTGGCGTGAGCGGTCGCCATGATTATACCGAATGACGCTCCCGCTGTCGTCCGTGAGTCTCATCAGCTGCCCTAGTCTCGTGGTGACAATGCCGGTCGGAATCGTGGGCCGGCGTTTGCCGATGTCGAGTTTCTGAATTTCAGTTGTTGAGGTCGTCTGACACACTGTTAGCGGTTCCGGGGTATTCATGTTCGCGCAAGTAATGATGATTCCGCTAGCACTGGTGTGGAGGGGCCACTGTGACATTAGCAAAGATGCGCTGCTGGGAGGCTATTGTTACGAAACACGAGGACCGGCGGGGAGGAAGGATAGGACATTAGAAAGGCAAGAGCGACGCAGCCCGGATGCGACAACAAAACTGCAAAGAGTAATCACTGTAGCAAGTAAACAAGAGTAGGGGACAAAGGGAATTAAGTTAACATTGAATGGCACCGCAGCAGGCATGAATTGTCTTGCAATGCGCTAATGCGTTGGAATATGATGTACAAATGGGCGTCCGCCAATGCAACCAGTTGCTTATTTCACATGAGCCTGGAGGGTCTCGAGAACCTGTAAATACCGTTGTTAGCGTAAATTCCTGTGACATCACCTCTGCTGCAGGCGCCGTGCCGCAATCTAGGGCGCTGAAATGTTCGCAGAACACATACCTCGAGCTCAATCTTGGCCTCAGCAATATCCTGCTCGCTACCGTTACCGCTGGCAATCTTCTGGGCCTCGGCAATCTGGTTGCGGATGGCCTCGGCGCTGAAGTCCTCGAGGGGGTAGGCCTCGGGGGCATTGATGCTGAGAGCCGAGTCGGGCTGGACCGTCGCGAATCCGCCGGAAACTAGGGCGAGAGAGTTAGCCAATTGTCCCGCGCTTTCAAGTCTCGCCTCGTAGATGACGACACGGGACAAAAGGGAGCCGGGATTTCGTAGGAAGGGTGTTGGTGGACGTACGGAAGAAGGACTTGGTGCTGCCGCTCTCCTCGACGACCTCGACGACGCCGGGCTTGAGCTGCTCGATGGAGGGGACGTGGTTGGCGAGGACGCCCATCTCGCCAGACTCGGCGGGGATGTTGACCTGGACGACGTTTTGCGACTTGAAGATGGTCTGGTTGAGGTAATTAGCACGGTGTTGCCGTAAATTCTCGCAACGGTCGGGGGCGGCGCTCCGAGCCTGGCCGGCCGGCAAAAAAAAGTTTCGGCGCGCGCAATTGGCTCGCAAATTTCGGTTCGCTCGCTTCGCAACACGCCTTCGGGCAGTCAACGTAGGGAAATTCGTACCTGGTGAGGCAGAGACAGGCTCAGCTTGATCTGTTTCGCGAGTTAGCCATGGGTGGATAAGCAGCAAGGGGATTTCGGGGGAAGAGCGCACCTTGTCGGGGATGGCCTCGGCGTAGCCTCTGCGCTGAGCAGCCATGCGCATGGCGACGGGGCGGGCACGAACGGCCGCGCGGGCAATGCGGAGGGAGTTCATGATTGTGCTGACGGGATAATTGGGATCGAGGGGAGTGAAGGTGAGCTCGATGAGCAATGAGGTCGTGGCACGAATCTTTGCTAGACTGAACGAACAGATTCGGCTAGCGGGAAATTCCGGTTCCAGGTCACATGAACAGTCACGTGATCTCATGAGGTAATTCCGCATTGTCAGGCCTTCTCCCCTTCACAATACCAGTCTATCATCTGGATGGTGTCTAGAAAAAAAAAAGCGATTCTGGACGTCGTTGGATTCGACATCTACTTTGGTCGTTCTCGGTCGAGTTATGGGCTCCGGTGAGACAGCGCATTGAGACGAGGTGATTCCGACTTGCGAGAACACGCCTCACCTGGCGCGCCTTCTAGATTGGTATAATAGCATCGACATGCCATCCAACAAAATGTCAATAACTAGTGAGATCGTCGACTTTGATCAGGAGATGGCTAGGAATTTACCGGTTACCCGTCTGTACGGTTACTCATCGTGCATCGTGGCTGTCGAACTGGTGCGCACAGGTGAGCGACAGCGCCGTCATTCGAAATGATTTGGACGCTCCATCCTATTGCCATCGAAAGTTTGGGGATGTAAGTCGCTACAGGCATTGTGTCATTTATTCACCGTTTTCACATTCAGACATTGGCCGCTGTCGAGCAGCAGCACCTGGGCACGAAACAGCGAGCAAGAAAGGATCCGCAAAACGACAAATCATGTGCAGCTGCAACTAAGGTTGTATGTGTACTATTCTAGAAAATTGTCCAATATGTGAAGAAGAAACTGCCCAAGCTACACTAGATAACAGCACGGAGCTTGCCAAAGTCCAGCGATCCAAGACCACTGGCGGCATCCCAACCGGTGCCGGCTGTGGGGAGAAAATGTTAGCAGACCGCATGCTATCGGAGAAGAGGAGAAGAAGAAGAAGAAGAAGAAGAAAAAGGACGACGTACCATAGAAGCCGTTGAGGCCGCAGCCAAAGTTGTTGCCGGAGGTAATGTCGCGGATGGCGGTGGCGGCGGTGGAGGAGTAGAGCAGCGGGTTGATGAAGCCGAGGGTAGACTTGCCGGTGGAGTTGCGGTAGTCGTTGAGGACGCCGATGAAGGCGGCGACGGAGGGCGACGAGGCCGAGGTGCCGAACATGTGGTAGAGCTGACCGTTGATGTAGGTCTCGAAGTTGACGCTGACGAGCGAGATGTCGGGGTAGCCGCGGCCGCCGGTGTTGAGGTAGCCGTTGTAGCTCGAATCGAGCGAGTTGGCGTAGGCGGTGGTGACGTTCTTGCTGTAGTCGGGCGCGCTGAAGTGCCAGGAGTAGCCGCCGCCGGGGGAGGTGTACTTCTTGTTGAGCGTCTGGAAGTTGGCGACGACCTCGCCGGAGCTGCCAAACTGGGTGCCGCCGACAGCGGTCACGTACGGGCAGCTCGCGGGCCACATGGCGTAGAAGCCGTTGTTGTAGCAGCTAGTCTCGCCGTTGGCGGCGACGCCGTGGTCGCCGGTCGACAGGGTGAGGGTGATGCCGAGGGAGCCGGCCTTCATGAACTCGTTGCACACTCTGTCCATGTAGTCGCCATCGAAGCCGTTCTCTTCACCGCCATCTGTGCATTTGTAGTTAGCGGGCCGATCACAGGATTTGTTCCTTCATGCTCAAATGCTATGCTGGTGGCACTTACAGCTGGTGGACACGACCGAGGGAGGGTTGGAGGTGGAGGTCAGGTAGCTGGCAATGTTGGCGAGGGCGTCGCCGAATTGCGAGTCCTGGGCGCCAGTCGGGCCGGCGGACAGGTAGACGCTGGGGTTCGGGTAGCAGAGGCCACCCATGTACTGGGTGTCAAGGTTGCCCTCCATCTCGGTGCCGTTGCCCGAGTTGGGCGCGTTGTTAATAGTGACGTCGGAGAAGTCCTTGAGGCCGGAGACGTAGGCGTTGCCGAAGGTGGCGTAGTCGGTGTGGTTGGCGCCGATGCCGATGAGGCCGGTGGTTCCGCAGAGCTGCGTGCCCTTGGCCGTGTAGTCGACGTTGTAGTGCTGGTTGATACAAGCGGGAGTCATGTGGCCGTTGCTGAGGCAGGCGTCACGGCGCTCAACGGCGTTGGCGACGACATCGCTCTCCTCGGTCGCCGCAGCGTGGGCGCCGATGGCGTTGTAGAAGGCCGTGGTGGGCGTGATCATGTCGATGTGGTCGTGGAGGGCCTGGGGAACCAGATACTTGGTAGTACGGGGGATCGTGATGCCACTCTCATCATGGGTAAACCACTCATACTGGGTGCCGAGGAGCGACTCCATCTGGCTGACGGGAGCGGTGAACTCGATCCAGCTGCGAACATGTGAGTAGCTCCCTTGGAGGACCATGATGCGGTACAAGAAACGGCATACTCATTGGTAGGCTGGGAGGTCTCGGAGATGCCATGGGCGGCGAGCCAAGACTTGACGGCGTCGACGCTGCCCTCGGCCGGCGCAGTGTACTTGGCAACCTCATCCTGCGACAGCCACTTGCCGTAGTTCTCGCTGCTGGGGTTAGAGATGTCAAGGAGCTTCGCCTCCAGGCCCTTGATGTCCCCCTGCTTGAGACCAATCTGGCCCTTGATCAGGGCCGACTTGGCGGCGGCACCAGTCGACTGCCACTTGGAGGGGATCTGCTTGATCTCGCTGAAGAGGGTCAGAGGACCATGGTTGGCAGCGGAAGGAGCGGCATAAGCACCGCCAACCGTGGAAAGTGCGAGGCAAATTCTTGACCAAGCGACCATGTTTGCGACTTGGGGATACTTGATGCGACGGACTGGATCGTATGTAACGAGGCTGTTGGAGATAAACAGCCATCATCGGAGATGGCAACAGACCGTACTTATCATTCATCGTGATGCTATCTGCCTCATTTCTGAAGCGTAATTTTCTGTTAATTATATGTGTAAGCCGGCACGAAACGGCATGACAGGACGGATATGGGCGTCAAGTGGCGGCTCTCCTCACCTTCCCTAGTAGGAACAGGTGCCAACTACAGTCTGGACAGCGCTCATAAGGTATCGAGTAAGTCCGACGAGATGTAGATACTTTCATGGTAAAAGGAGTTAGGTAAATAATAGCAATGCGTTTTTGGATGCCGAGCGTCCTATCTCTCGGCCCTGTTCTACGCCCCCAAGTTCCCCAGACTCTTGGCAACCTGCCAAAAAACATTTAGCCTGGCCAGCCACGGCCACTTAACACAAGGGGAAGTTGGAGATGACATGTTTCAAGGGTTCTTCTACTTGCCTAAAACGTACGTTCGGCAGTCCCGGTTGTCAAGTCTGCGGTGAGCGACATCGGTAGGAGGGGAGGGCGCCAGTAAAAGGGGATGACATTACAAGGGACGCGGCAATCAATTCTCGCATACTACCGAGTCCTGCAGTACGTAAAGCTCGGCTGTCACAGATTGATCAGCGCTTTATCATCTGCTAAAAGGATCGTCGGTTGAGCTATCGCCAAACCAGTGCTAGTTTGTTGGCGACTGACCACAATAGTGGTGGTAACTAGTTCGGGTAGTTGGGGTAAACCCCACAGCTTATTGTTCTGGTGATAAGACGAGAGGGAGAAATGATTACCTTGAGGGTTGTAATTTCTGTTACTAATTTTGTGACCTGTCTGGAGCGGGAGTTGTTGGCTGTGAGCGCGGCTTATTTCATATATACCGAGGTTGGTTGGAGTTGTGAATAGTTACTGTCCGTTATTAGTAAAGGGGGAGTCGGAGGAAAACCAAGTTTACTATTATGGGTTGGAGGGAATGCTCAAGCTATATATCCTCCATGGCACTCAGTGGAGAACGCCAGCCTGAGATGCCAAGACGGCTCTTGCGTTGACTGTTCGCGAACATGGACCAAATCGGGGTTGATCGGCCTTTTAATAGACGACGATGCATTGTAACTCGGCTTCGGGCAACGCAAATGGCCGAGGTTCATTGGCTGCGACGCTCGGCGTTAAAAATGGACTCATTGTACTTTATGAAAGATGAGGTTTTATTTCACTCGATCTTTTGCAGAAGAAAAAAAAAACACGATATTTCTGCCTGCTTGTCAGTACAGCAGCGAATACGACACCATGGAACCTACCGCAACCGTGACTGCGGCTCCAATGAGGCTGATTGACTATCTCTCCCTGATTTGGAAAGTCCCAATCATCCGTACGCGCCCAATCATATCACACGCCGCACTTGTCATGTGTCACGATATGCTAACATCATCTTTGGGCCAGTGTGTCGGTTCGCCTCTCTCTTCGTCATCCGCTGCACCTGGCCGCGCAGCAAGGTCTACTCGCTGCACTGGCGCCAGAAGCTGCCCCTGACGCTCCTGGCCGCCGTGTCCAGAACGTTAAACATCCGTCAGCTGAACGCGACGATCGCGCGTCGCCCCCTCAGCGGGCAGCAGATTGCCCAGTACTGCGCGGCCAACGGCCTCGGGCACGGCCACGTCACCGTGCCGCAGCCGCGCGGAGCGGCGTTCCCCCCCGCCAGCCTGCACGTGGTTACGCTGGAGGGCGCGGATCCGGAAGGTCCTACGGTGTTCTACGCCCACGGCGGGGGGTACCAGTCGCCGATGCGCGCCGCCGGGTGCGTCCCGATGGTGACGCACATGGCCAAAGCCTGTTCCGCTTCAGAGATTGTGTTCCTGGAATACTCGCTCACGCCAGCCGTGCGGTATCCGGGTCAGCTCGCGCAGGCCGTCGAGGGACTGCGCTACCTGATCGACCAAGGGCGTTCACCCTCCAAGCTGATCCTGGGAGGGGACAGCGCCGGCGGCCACCTCATTGCGAGCGTGCTCCTGCACCTCCAGGAGCCCTGTCCGGGCATCGCTCCGCTGGAGTTGAAGGACGGGCAGCGCCTGGGTGCTGCGGTTCTGCTGTCCCCGTGGCTGCGCATGAGTGAGGAGCGCGCGGCCGCCAGGGTCAACGAGGCGTACGACTTCCTCCTGTCCAAGCACGTCGACAACTTTGCGAGGCTGTTCGACCCGACGGCAGGCCAGGTATGGGGGCACATCATCGAGGGAGAGGACGCAAAGACGCGCTGGGCCCGCGCGGTCGGACGGGAGCAGCCGGCGCCGCCGGTCGTGGGTAAGCTGCTGATCACGGCCGGCAGCGCCGAGCTGCTCTTTGATAGCTGCGACGAGTTTGCGCGGGAGTACGTCGGTGCGAAGACCCTGAGCATGGATTCGAAAGCGAAAGAGGCGGACGTGAAGGAAATGATGAGGGCGGAGAGCGTGCTCCTTGCGGTCGGCCCCAACGAGGTCCACGTCCAGCCAGCCCTAGACGCTTCTCAGGGATACTATGATGGAGGGACCATGAAGGCCATTACATACTTTCTGCAGGAGTTTGAATAGTGAGTCATACAATCGCGTAAATTATACGAAATTACTTGGCTAGCGGGAGCCGCTCCCAAAGTAGCCATTGTCAATGCCGTACATGTTTCTGGTTGGAGGGCAGCGGCAGCTTGCTGCAGACATGACAATGTGTATGTATCATGTGATTTATATATCCACTTATCAATGTTACATTGAGCTTTATTAATACAATGATATTACTTAATACCTTAGCATTGTCGACATCGACAAGTGGTCAACAAGTGGTCAAGTGTGGGGGACCAGTTACCTTTTCTCTCCGTCTACAACCTCTGGTGCTTGCCAAAAGAATTTCAGCATTGTATTGAAAAAGTGTTTTTAAATTGAAAAGAAAAGACTAGAAGATTGCAACTGCAATTCAATTCAATTCAATTTTGAAATATTGTATGCAACGTCATCTCCCACTGGTAACCTCTCGCCAAGGCACTTGCTTGCAAGCCAACTTCGCCTGTTGAGTCGTTACAGAAGTGATAAGCTATCACCGGCACTTTTTTAGGAACTGGCTTGTCCTTGCCCCAGTCCATCCAGCCACTTGCCATCATCCACGCCAACCTCGTCCACCAGCGCGTTGAGCTGCACGGCAGCGGGCTGCGCCGTGCTTCCCAGCGCCGAGGAGCTGACCGATGTGTCCCCGGCCGTCTTGAACGAGCAGCTCGAGGTTGCAACGCTCCCATCAAATGCCCGCTGCACAAAGTCTACCGCCCCCGGCGCGCCGAACGCCCCCGTAGAAACGTGCCCTCCCGTGGGAAACGCGACGAAGCTGACGGCGGCCCCGTTGGCGCACCAGCGCTGGTACGTGTCAAAGGCCGGCCCGTACACGACGACCTCGTCCTGCTGCGCGTGGTACATGTAGACCGGCGCGGCCGGCGTCTCCTCCCTGACGACGCCGAGCGTCCCGCGCGCCAGCACCTTGGAGACGGTCGGGTCGTGCAGGAACCCGTCGCCGAGCGTCTGGAAGCTGGTGCTGAGGACGGACTTGCCCGAGAACTTGAGCAGGTTGGGCACGGCGCACTGGGTGTTTGCGGTGCGCATGGCCGCGCGGCCCTCGTCGGTGACGATGCGGTCGAATACGGGCGCCAGCTCCGCGCCGTACGCCGAGGGCTTCATCTGGCCGGCAATGGCCACGGGCAGGAAGCCGCTCGTGCGCCCGCCGTCGAGGAACGGCACCATGGCGGTGATGTTGGCCGGCACGCCGCCGACCGCCCACCCTTTGATGGTGAGCTCCGGCGCGTGCGTCGGCTGCAGCGCCGCCGCCCACGCCGTTGCCAGCCCCCCACCGGAGTACCCCGTTCCGACCATGGCCGCGTTGGCCGCCAGGCCGAGCTTCGCGCTGCCGAAGCTCTGCGCGGCGCGCATGCTGTCCAGGACGCCCGTGGCGGCGAGCCGGCCGACGCTGAAGGCGGCGTCGGGCCCCTCGTAGTCGGGCGAGTTGACCACGTAGCCCTTGGCCAGGTAGGCCTGCAGCAGGAGGAAGTCGGCGGCGAGCAGCACGTTGGTGGGCAGGCTGCCGAACTGGAAGGCGTAGCTGGGGTTGCAGTCGACGCAGGCGCTGTCGTAGGCGGTGTTGTAGGTGACGAGGCGGTCCTTCTTGGCGAACAGCAGCGGCGCGAAGATGGTGGTGACGGCGGCGACGGGCGTGCCGTTGACGGCGGTGGTGCGGTAGAGGACTTGGTGCGCCCGGACGGTCAGGTCCGGGATGATGCCGAGGAAGGCGGCGAGGATGGGGCGGTCTCGCAGGACGGTGCCGGGTGCGGCGGACTCGAAGCCGGCCGGGGGGAGGTAGAACTTGTCGCGGCTAGGGAGCGTGGCGCGGCGGTCGAGGGCCGAGGGTGGCGCCGGTTCCTGGGCCTCGGTCGGGACGGACCGGCTGTGGCCATTGGCTTCAACGGAGACGACGTCGGCCGGGGGAGGAGAGGGCAACGCTGTGGCCGAGTGGCAAAGCTGAGCAAGCCAGACGGCTGACAAGAACTTCAACTTCATGCTGACGGGTGAATGGAAGAAAATGAATAGAGTTAACCTCGGGGGCCTGGAAGAGTGAACCGGGGAGGACTAGACAAGGGAACTGAGATAGAAGACCAAGGTTACGAACTGTCCCGACTTAATAAGTACTCAGTTCGGATCTATACGGGAGACTTTCTTTATTCTAGGATACTAGTAGCTGAAAATGTCCCCCCCCCCCCCTTTCTCGCAGCCGGCGGTCGTAACGGTGGCCGGTGACATTGGCTCGTGATGATCCCCCAACCCAGCATGGCCGCACTCGAGCCTCGGGAGGCTGATTCCCCGGATCAGCGGAGGTCGTACATGGTTCTTGGTAATTGGCCATCTTGTCAGTCGAGGACCTGCAAACTTCTCCAGATTAGATTCCCCAGCATCTCACATCCCCCGCACGGTGCCATCGTACGGGTGAGCGTGTGTGGGGGAGGATGGAGGCGCCACATCGCGAACAAGGGCTCAAAGAGGTTAGGGTATGATGGCGATGGAACCAATATCCAGGAGCTCAATGAGAGAATAACTCGGTTCTCTATGGGTATAAGTAAGACATGGAAGCCAAGGCCAAAGAGGGAAGGTCCCAAGTCCGTCCGTGCCAAGTTGCATTGCCAAGTGTATTGCCAAGTTGTATTACCCTGCTCACTTACACCGGGATTCACTGTATCGTGTCGATACTCAAAACGCAATGGACAAGGTTGAAAGCACGTCCAAGTCGGACACCTGGGTGCACCAGGAGATGCAGCTCAGGCCAGAGGATGGGTTGGAGCAGCAAGTGTCCGACGACAGCAGCCAGGACCGTACGCCCAAGGTATGAGAATCCAGTCTCACCCAGCAGAGACGTACACCGTGCTCACAGTCATGACCAGTTCTCCGACGTCCGCTTCATCATGGTCCTCGCCGGCTTCGGCATGGCCTTTGTCGGCTCCCAGGCGCACCCTCTTCTCTTCGCCGCCATCCTCCCCCTCGTCGCCGCCGACCTGCACGCCCCCGCCCAGCTGATCTGGTTCCTCGTCGCGCAGGTCATCGCCATCGGCGTCGCGGCGCCCTTTGCCGGCCCCCTCGCCGACCTCTTCGACCGCAAGCACATCACCCTCTTTGCCGTCCTCCTCGGCATGGTCGGCGCCGTCCTCCTCGCCGCCACGCCCAACGCCGCCGGCTTCATTGCCGGCCAGGCCCTGTCCGGCATCGGCATCGCCGTCCAGGAGCTCATGGCCATTGCCGCCGTCGCGGAGATCGTGCCGACGAGTCAGCGCGGCTACTACGTCGCGCTGGTCGTCTCCTTCTTCGTGCCCTTCGCGCCGGCCTCGCTGTACGGCGCGCTGATCGCGCAGGCGAGTAGTTGGCGGTACTGCGCGTGCGCGGTGGCGGTGTGGAACGCGGCCACGGCGGCGATTCTCTTCTTCTGCTACAGCCGGCCGCCGCGGGTGCAGCTCGACGGGAAGCGGCTCACGGCGGCGGAGAAGCTAAGGCGGGTTGACTGGCTCGGGGGGGTGATCCTGACGGCGGGGTTGCTGGTGCTGCTGGTCGGGATCAACTCGGGCCAGCAGTATGCCTGGAACTCGGCCCGGATCATCGCCCTGCTGACGATCGGCATCGCCCTGCTGCTCGCCTACGTCGGGTACGAGTACGTGCTGGCGCCGCATCCCATGTTCCCGGGCCGGCTGCTGCGCCACCCCCGGGCGTTTGTCGCCCTCATGGTGGTCATCCTCATGGCCGGCATCAACTACATCCCGCTGCTGTTCTTCTGGGTGCTGGAGTGCGTCGCCGTGTACGACTCGGACATTCGGCAGACGGGTATCCGGACCATGCCCTTTGGGTGGTGCATCCTCGGAGGCGCAATCATCTCCGCCCTACTCGTCTCCATGTTCCGTTCCCGCGTCCAGCTCATCATGACAGGTTTCTGCATCGTTCAGGTAGTCGGTAAGCTCTTCCAGTACAACCCCAGTACGAGGATAGTCACACTGACAGCCACACCTCGGTAGCCATCGCGTGCATGGCGGTGATCGACCCGCACAACCTCGCCACGGCTTGGGCGCCTCTTTCCCTCGGTCTCACGGCCGTGGGCGGCGTCTTGATCCCCAACCAGCTCATCGCGACCATCATCACGCCCCAGGACCTCATCGGAACGGCAACCTGCCTCACGGTCTGCATCCGCGCCGTCGGACAGGTCATCGGCGTCAGCATCTTCTACCAGCAGTTTGTCCAGCAGCTGACCAAGCGAACAATGCAATACGTCGTGCCCGCGGCGGTCCAGGTCGGCGTGTATGACCTCGACACCCTGACCAACATGATGCCTACCCTCGTTTCGATACCGTTCTCGGAGTACATCAAGTCGCTGCCTCAGGTAAACACGACAGAGAAGATCACGATGCTACACGATGCAACGCTTGTGGCCTTTTCCGGGGCTTTTAGCAGGGTTTACTACGTGTCGATTGCGTTTGGGGCCATTGCTGTGATTGCCAGCTGCTTCATTGGCGATTTGTCTGCGCTGATTGGAAACCAGGTTGCTGTATCCTACTTTTGATTATGATGTAATCAAACTATACGCGATTTCAGATGAATTGAATTTTAAGAAAGATATTAGCATCATAATCGAGGCTGAAGCACACAAGATATGCACGTGTCTCGGTAGTAGACCAGACAGAGACCATGGACCATACTAGGCAGCAACTTCCGAATCTAGGATATCATGTAAATAGTTCATTGTTCTATACTGAAAATAGCGCAGATACATACCTCCACACCTCCTCGGCACCTTTTCGGACGCCGAGTTCATCCCACCGGGACTAAGACCCCCGAAAGCACTGCATGATGCTCGTCGCCATCAGCTCGGCCTCGACCGGCTTCAGCCCGTACATGTCCTGTATCCTGTCCTGCGCCTCTCTGCACGCCCTCCGCTGGTCCTCCGTCGCCTGCGGCGTATTAATCACGATGGCCAGGATCCAGGTGAGGTAGTACGACGACACCGCCTTGGGCCGCGGCGCCGCCATCTCCCGTCCCTGCTCGTCCACGTCGCCCATGTTGTACGGGATGCTCCCGCGGATGCGCTCCAGCAGCAGCGCCACGTTGCGCGCCGCCATCTCGCTCGTGGCCGCGACCAGCGCGCGCTCGGTGTCGGTCAGCAGCCGCGCGCGCAGCTCCAGGATGCGCCGGCTGCATGAAAGAACGGTCGAGTAGAAGATGGTCAGGAAGGCGTCAAGGCCGGTCCACATGATGCTAAGCAGCCGGCTGGGGGAGACGATGAGTGCGGGGGGTTGTTGCTGGGGCGAGGTTGAGGTTCGGACGATGAGGGTCGGCTTGAGATGGTGCTCGGCGTCGCGGACGATGGCGTCGAGGCGCCGCTGGATGCGCATGGCGCGGTCGAGCGCGGCCCGGAGCGACTCGGCCTGCTCGTCGGCGGTGTTGGGCTCGGCGTCCATGCTGCGCAGGCTGCGCATGGTGTCGATGCAGAACTCGACCGCCCACGACATGGCCACGGCCAGCCCGGTGGACAGCGTGCTGGTGTCGGCGTGGCCGTCGCGGAGTTTGATGCAGTCGAAGGACTCGCCGCGCATGAGCGTCTCGATTTGCTGCCGGGCTGTTAGAATGGGGGAACAAGAACAGACGGGCAACTGCTGCTAGCCAGCACATACCAGATGCGACAAGGCCCATCGATACACCGGCCCGCGCGACGACGCCTGCACCAGGCTCTCCGTCCGGGCCGAGAAGATGCGGACGATGCCGTCGAGGTGCGACGGCCTTGTCTTGGGCGCCTTGCCGTGAATGTCCTGTTCAGTCCGTCAGCATCTGGCTACGTCTTTGACATTAGGGGGACCGCCCACCTCAAACAGGTTCAGCAGCATGATGGCGGCAATCGTATCGTCCTGCCACGCGGCCGCCGCCTCGTTGAGCGTCTCGCTCAGCGCCGAAAGGGCCGCGCCGTAGTGCCGGCAGGCCTTGCGGTACAGGTAGGGCGACTTTGAGTGGCGCCACAGCGACAGGCAGCTGGAGGCGAGCGTCGCGCGGCTGAGCGCCGAGTCGGGCGGCGACGCGGCCAGCCGCTCGGTCAGGAAGTTGAGGAAGCCCGGGAAGAGCCCCGGGCTGGGCGGGAGGCAGTACTGGTCAATGAAGTACATGGTCGACTCGTCCTCCCACAACGGCTCGAGCTGGCTGTCGAGACAGAGCCGCGGCGGCGTGCTGACAGGGGATGCATAGGAGGCGGAGGGGCCGGAGGCGGATGAGGAGGAGGAGGAGGAGGAGGATGATGCGGCGGCTCCGGCGTCTGCGGCGAGGATGGCCGGAAGCGCCGGAGACGGACTGGATTTGTTCTTCTTCGCACCGGGACGCGCGGAGCTGGAGGACCGCGAGTCCACGTAGAACCGGATGGGCAGCGGTCGATTGTACCCCGGACACTGCGTCCCGTACTGCTGACAGCGGCGACAGGCCGGCCGGGTCTCGTCGCACTAAAGTATCGCGGTGGAAACTTGGGTGAGAAGGTGGTGTGTTTGCGAGATGGGATGACAGGCGACATACCTTGACCCGCCTCTTCCGGCACTGCTTACAGCCGGTGCTGAGGCCGTAATTGAGAAGCTCGTGATGGGGTTTCGTTGGGAAACTGGTTTGGTAATCGAATGAATGATATTGATTGATTGAAAGAAAAAGATTCCTGAACCCGTAACTTGTTGCGATGGATGACGATGGCCAAGAGACCGGACCCCCGGAGTACGTGCCGAATCAGCGCTGTGGGCTGGACAGGCGATCAATGACTAGCCAACTAACAACCAACCAACTAGTTAGCACAAGTATGTTAAGTGGCTTGGGAATGGCGCTCGCAAACTGCCGTCGCATTGGGAATGGCGGCATTTTATATGTTTTTCCAAGATGGATCGCCACCGTCGGGACCCCAATTCCGCGATTCTATGACTGGCTGTTATGCGCCTTGTCTGTCTCCAGTGTAAGCCAAGGGGATGGTCTGATGCCGCCTCACTCACCGGATGAAATCTAGGGGTTTTGCGAAAGAGGGCCCGTTCCGTTACGGCCGTTTGAACCTTCTTCCATTCTCGCTAGTGAACCAGTCAGTCGGAGCACCCGTCGTGACAGTCATCTCGGTTTGTGGGGGACTTGTCGTACGTTGCATTACGCCTTGACGGCCTTGTATTCCGCCCTGCTGTCAACCCTGCCAAGAAACATGGCCATGCCAATGCATAGAAAGACAAAACATGGCTGGAAGCTTCTCGTGTATAATTTGATTTATTAAGACGCAAGATGCCCAAGTCATGCCCACGGCTTGGCCAAAGGGCTCGGCCCTACCTACACTCCTTCCCATTAGCGAAGAATGATTTTAACACTACAACGATAACACCAATATGTTGTGAAATACGGCTAATCTGTTTGAATCTCCTTTGTTATTGAATCATCAATTCGTGATCCTGCTAGAAGCACCATCCTCCAAGTGCTTGCTCCGGCCTCTGCCAGTGATCAAGGCAGTAACTAGTCAAAGATAACATGACCTCTCTCAAATGATAATGAGACAAGTCGTGGTTTCACCATCTTGAGTACTGTTTCAACGCTCAGTTGAAGATAGTTGGCAAATTCTCGCGAACAAGGGCCAGATAAAGACTAGCGACAGCGAGAGCGCACAACCAGCGAGCGGATGCCCCCGGCTACGTGGTGCCAAGTGGCAGAGTGCGAGTCAATCAAGCTGAGAGGAATCCTCCAAATACTCTTAACAGGTTACACGTAATAATACAACAGCTTGCTCCACGCTCTCGTTTTGAAAACCAGCCACTTGGACCAGGCGTGGCGGCAACGTGTCCAGCTTTCCTCTGTCACTATAAGCAGTCCTAATTTGCGACAACGCTGAAGAAGAAAGTGTATTGTCTTTTAGAGTCTTTCAAGTAGTCCTGGGTCGTCGTAGAAATCATAAATCCCTCTGAAGATGGGCCTCGGCCCTCCTCCGTCTAGCCGGAAAGCAGGCTTTGCGCTGAGGCCATGGCTGTTAGCTCTGCAGCTCATGAATCACTACCAATAAACTATCATGACATGTTTCGCATTCAAGTTCTCTCCAGGCTGGAAGGCCCACAGATGATCGTACTAGGGTTGCCATCAACAGCGAGGTCAACCGTCTCCGGCGCGAGCTGGCCACGCCACCCATCGATAGGCCCCAAGGCGTCCCAATTCCGGGCACCGAGACGCTCGGGTAGTCACCAATTTATAGGCACTATCTGTACAGAAATAGGGCCCTTGTGGCCGCCATCGAGCCCGAAGTGAGGTTCATACATGACCTATTTGAGCAGGCAGTTCGTCAGTTTCCCAACCACAACTGCCTAGGTTCCCGCGAATAGGACCACGTCACCGCAGGCTTCAAGCCGCGCTACAACTAGATCAGCTACAAAGGTCGCAGAGCGACGCAAGAACCTGGGTGCTGGAATCGTAGAACTGGCATCGCGCGAGGGTTCCCACATGTACAACTACGAAGAAGAAATATGATCTCAGAACCTTGGTGAGTGCACACCACCGGTGAGCAACGTCTCCCCGAGAACATGTTTTCGGCTTCAGCTGGCCAAGTAGTCCCTTTTGATCTTCTCCTCTTGGGCCTAGACCTTGCTACCTCATCGCAGTGCCTGTATTCCGTCTCGCTCTACGACATACCCCCGGGCCCGACGCCACCGAGCCCATCACCACGACGCCGAGCTCCCTGGCATCGCCTGCTCCGTCGAACGAGTCCCCGCGCTCCTGACCATGCCATCCCCGAATCCCATCACTCCGCATCATCATCTGCACCGACGCCCTCGACGCGGGCGAGCCTACACGACAGACGAAGAGAGCCCCGTTAAGCGAGCTTGCAAAGGAGCACCCGAGCCTCTCGATACACTCGATCGAAGACCTGGAGCGCGTCGGGACGGAGAGCGGCCGGCCGACGAGGCGGACGACATCAACGTCATCAACTACACGTCCGGTAGCACGGGCGCCCGCCCAACGGCACGGTGCTGACGCCCGGCAACGGCCGTGTCAGCCGTCAAACTGCTGCCGCTGCTTGGCAACGCCGGGGCCGCCCGACGCGCACCTTGTCGTAACTTGCCCCTCGCGCACACATCCACGACCGCCTCGCCGACCAGATGGCGCCGTGCTCCGGCACCGCCGCCGTCGGCTTCCGCGGCGGGAGGGACGTCCTCGGGCTGGGTCGCGGACCTGCACCTCCTGCGGCCGGCCGGCCGCGGCGCGCACAACCAGGCACCCGGTCCTCGAAGCGCTCTAGACGGGCCACCGTGCGCGCGTCTCGTCGTAAGCAGCAGCGCCTTCCTGCACCTTGCGACGTGCAGGCGTCCCTCGGTGCCGCGCTCGGTGCGCACCTCCGCCCAGGGACTACGGCATGACCGAGTCCTTCGGGGCGCGCGGGCGGGCGCGCGGGCGCGCGGCGACATGACGCACAGGGGCACCGTCGGCCCTCCCACGCCGCAACGTGGAGGTGCGCCTCGCCTCCGCGGCTACCGCGTCGACGACGAGCCGCGCCCCGCGTGGCGAGGTGCCTCCTGCCGGGGGGGCCGTCCCTGTTCAGGGAGCTTACCGCAAGGGAACGCCGTGGAGACGCGCGGGAGGGTTCGACGTCGCGCACGGCTGGGTTCCGCCCCAGCGACGTCGACGACCGGGGCTGCTTCGGGATCATCGACCGCAGCAAGAAAGTGCTGAAGCTGGCGCATGGCGAGCACGTCTCGCCGGAGCGACTAGAGGGTGCGTACCTGCTGCGCCGCTCGCGTCCGCGTAATGTCCGTGGCGACGCGGACCCGGCCTGTCTCGTTGGCGTCTTGAGCGTGGAGAGGGTTCCGTTTGCCGCCTTTGCGAGCACAATCCTGGGCCGGGAGCTCGAGCCGAACGACGACGACGCCCTACGACAGCGCCGCAGTCCCCGTCGGCGGTCAAGGGCATGTCCGGACAATATACAAAATTTCGCGGGAGCAGAGGTTCAACAGCTACGAGAGGATACGGGCAATTCGCCTGGCAGTTGATTCTTTTACGTTGGAGAGCGGGTTGCCCACGCCTTCGTAAGGTTTTGAAATCGAGCACGCTTAATCGTCTTTCCAAGACGCACTTGGCGTTGATACTAACAGCGATGCTCGTAGTCAAAAACTAAAGTGCCCCCTTGTAGCGAAAACATTCCAGCCAGAGATTGATAAAAGGTATGCCCGAGTTTCTGCAAGCAGTCCGACGGTAAAGCTGAAGCTCGGGTGGGTGTTTCTGCTACTCTTTTACTGTACGGGAAGTTCGTCACATCAGTTCGTGCTGTGTACACTCATCAATCCAGAGACGTTCAATCCAGAGACGGGCATGTGTAAATTACGTCACGTATAGTTGCCTAGACAAGAGTATCTGGCCAAACTGCGGCTTGATTGGTGAGCCTTGCTCGGGGGCAGCTCTGGCTTCCCAAACACGGCATTCCGAGGCCCTTCGGCAGATTGCCTCGTGTGGGAGTGTTCATGTCCCCAGCAAGGGCGTCTGGCTTGTCGTATTGGGAATCTTGGTGATCCGATTCGGGCAGGTATATGCTCTTGCATATCTTGATCGACATCGGTCCCCGAACAAAGTTAAAACAGCCTGTGCCGGCAGATGGTTGATTCGTGAACAGATAGGCTCGGCGTAGTCGGAGCCCCGGCCGCCCGCGGGCAGCGTCCCGCCGCTAGGACCGGGCCGGGTCAATGAGATCACAGCCATGGGAACAGGTTTGGCCTTGAAGGTTCGCGGGCTTGCTGTCGGTTGTTTGTCGAGATTCGTGCTGGTTGACTCGTGGACATCAGCTTGCCTGCTACCGGAGAGGACAGTCTGCAGGGCCGATTATTCCAGATGCTAGCCAACGGAACCAGCGTACATCTGCCCTGCCCTCAAAGACATGAGAGAACACCCGTACAAATTCCGCCGACCATATACGGATGGAGTTATAACCACCACCTGCTATGTTCGATGAAATGTAGCACCGGCTGTGACAGTGATAGTGGCTGGCTGTGATCTTCGACTCTACATTTTAGTGTAGGGTAAGTCGACGACCTCGCGATGGCTGCGGCACAACGTGCGGAGTCGATCGGTCCACCCCCCCCCCTCCCTCCTCCTCTCTCAGGGCTCTCCGACCAGCGTGACACGTTGGCAAACCCGCCATGAAAGCTTGGCGATATGGTCTCTGCACTACACGACAGGTTTCCAAGGGTTCAGAGAGCACCTCGATAGGGGCACGAGTATGCAGAAGCAGATTGGCCGATACGTGCACCGCATTGAGGGGGAGAATGGAGAGAGGGCGCGGGGGAAGCAAAACAAAAAAGGTACGACTTCTGCTATCGCCATGCGTCTATTGGCCGTCTACGTTCGTTTACCCTGCGTCATCATCACCATCAACAAGGGAGGAGGAGGAGGAGGAGGGCTCGACAGGCCCGCTGGTGAGGGTTACACGGCAGCGCGACCGCGCATGGGTGGTGGTGTGGCTGCTGGCTGCTTATATTGGGATTTGCTGATGCAATAGCGCCGCCCGGCAAAAGAGGAGGAGGGGCCAAAAGTAGCAGAACGACGCCATCGAGGGCATGACCTTGCCTTGAGAACGGGCAGATGACCTTACAAGGAGGGAGGGCCAAGAAGCGCACTTAAACCCTACCGGTAGTCCGTATGTAGTAATAAGTTGGAGACAAGGGAGATCCGTCGTCACCTAGTACCAACGAAGCTCACTTCGTACAAGCTTGTTTCATTGGCCACTGGAAGGCCGCGCATAATCGTGCAGCTTTCTTTGGTTCAGTCAGGCAGTCACTTGTCTCTTTTTTCTTCTTCTTCGTTGTGTCGTCGTTGCTCATGCTTGTGCGTGGCGTTTTGTGGCGCCCTGAGGAGCATGACGGAGAAGGTCTCCCCGGGTTCGCGGACAGCCATCTCGCTGCAAGTCTCATGCCACACATGGACGGATGGTAGCTGGCTGAAGAACTCGTCCTGGTGGCTGGCTGCAAGAGGGGAACAGTAAGAAGGGGG